GACATTCTTGTTCGTTGTTATATTCATTACCGTACCGTACACAATAACTACCCTGGGATTTTTCGTCCAGGGTAGCAATACTTAAGCCGAATGAGTTCGTTATGGGTAGTTATTTCGACCGCCATAGTATCGAGGGTACCTTATTTAAGACCGAAATTTAATACTATATTTTGTATACCCATACAATTTTATAGTTATGTTGAAATCATATGTTCATACTTGGTCGAAAACATATCAGAATGTAAGGTAGCAATCATTAACTTGTGGCACATCGTCGGTAACCCCGAAAGGCATTAAACAAGCAACTCCTTTATTGTAAAGCTAGCCGAGCTGACGCACTCAACATAGTCGAATAAATAGTGTTCTCTTGCAATGACGACAGGTTTGCATCAAAGGCAGAAGTCGATCCACACATAGGATTATGACCGCAGGTTTCGAACGCCTCGCAATCCACTTATCCTTGACGACAGTAACACCGACTATCCCACCGAATCTTGCAAGCTGCGTAAGCGCCCACGCGTGGTGGTTCGCGAAGACTTCGTAATCCTTAACGCTGATCTGCGCGACGACTTTGTGCTTGAGGAACAAGACGAAGACTGGATGTAACTACAGTAGTTAATCATTCATATTCATTTTTCCTTTTGAGTTGATATAGTAAGCTTAGTATATTTGTTTGCACATTCAGCATAATACGGTATTGGTATTGTACTGAATCACAAAGGTAGATATTTCGACCGCCAATTCTGGCAGGGTAGAAAAATTAAGCCGCCTTCCGCGGCAAGGGTAGTTATTCTGACCGCGAAGCACCCAGGGTAGATTTTAAGCCGGGGTAGTTATTGTGTACGGTACGGTGTATACAAAAGCGAAGTCAAAACCAGACGTGAGAAATTGACAGAAGAAAGTCGGACCGAATGTCCTGTATCCATTGATTGGTTAAAAGTGTAATTAATTAATGACCATGGCAGATGAACAACATAATGAAGTATTGCCTGCAACCTGCCAGCAGTACAGTACAGTACAGTACAGTACAGTACCTTAGAGCCTGGTACTACTGGAGGTGAGGAGCATCCGTCAGGGGGATCCTCCTTCTGGGGGATCACCACCTGGCTATGGTAGTAGTAGTTGGTCTTGCTCTGGTGGTTGTAGGATGAGCAGTAGTGATTGCTGTGTGGTGGGTGTGGCTGTGGTAGTAGTGGTTGATTATTACACCTCCAGTAGTACCAGGCTCTAAGGTACTGTACTGTATTGTCGTTACTAGCTGGCCGTACAAGATCAAGTCGCGGGACTTGACCAAGAAGCAATATCTTGTGTGAGTGGAAATTCGCGGTGCAGGAGCTCCAAAACGTTTATAACAGCACGATTGGCACTGGTTTGGGTCGTCGTCGTCCCTACACCTCGGCCACGGCTATAGATAGCTGCATTGCATTTGGCACTATAATGGCCAATTTGCCATCATCCTGGCTGGCTGGGGTTTCACTGAACTTGGACGTCAGCTTCGTACAGTATGTCCCAAATGAAGATGGTCACATTTGTACGCCTGGCTAGAAAACGTCATAAGTTGATGTAATCCGGGTTTTTATGGCATTCCCGCATATACACCCTACTAAATGGATTGCACGGCACCCGCATATATTGGGTGGGCGTTACAGTATTTCTCAAAATTGTGGATGTAGGAGCACAATGAAGTCGGAATTGACAGACTGTGACCCCAAATGATGCAGCAAAAAGTAAAGACAGGATAATTAGGTCGAATTTAAGCCAATCAGAATTGAGTCGGATGAGATGTCTGACTGTATTCGATCACAACACAATGTTGAAATGGTCCAAGAGTGGATTTGATTGGCCACTTGATTCGTGTGCTGGGTTTTGATTGGTCGATAGATTGTCTGCCGATTTGGTACAGCTCAAAAGTCCAAATTTTGGGTAAAAGGACAATATGCTTCAGTGTTAGAGCATCTCCACTCGTCAGACTTAAAGGTCTGATTTATACGGATAACCATTAGATAGGACCAATTTTGGACTATACTCCCGTTGGTTTTATGGGGGTCTCAATAAGTCCAAACATAAGTTCGGCCCCGAAAAGCCCTATCATAGGACTTTTTCGTCAAGATTCAGTCCGCGACATTCATTTAAAACATTTCGTTTTTTACGGATAACTTTGCCAAAATTGCTCGGATTAAGCTCAAATTAGCACCAAAATATCGGCCTTGATTGGCCCCATGTAATGGCGACTCTATCAGGCCACGAAATTTGACCGAGTAATCGCGGGAAAACTGATTTTGGGGTGCGACAGTCATTTATGAACACAACATTGAACTCGTCACTTTCACTTTGGAGCGACACCCACAGGTACGCCGACATATCTAACCGACGTGTAATCACTTCCAACAACCGTTGCTTGACCATCGTAGCCGACAACATGTCCAAAGGACCATTCTTGACTGCCCGGGAGAGGGCATTCATCGATGCACTCCGCGGCGAAGGCTTGACCGTCAAGGTGATTGCCGAGAGGCTTGGACTTTCGCGCGGGGTCATCTATAGCTACATTCGTGACGCAGAGGCCTATGGAACTCGTAGCAAGGGTAGTGTGTCTAAGGTTATGAATGATAGACTTCGTCGTCGACATCCAAGATAGGATGCTCCTCACGCATGCTCTAGGCGGCGATTCCGGTTAACCCTGAGTCTTCACACCTATCAACGCATCCCCCAGAAGTGCCAGCACCTCAAGTATGTGAAGCTAAAGCATTCCCCGTGCCTACTTCCCCGCAACAAGGTTGCCAGAATGGAGTACGCGACCCGGAATGTCCTAAAGCCCCCCAAGTGGAGTCGGATCATTTGGTCCGATGAGAAGAAATCCAACTTGGATGAACCAGATGGGTTCCAATACTATTGGCACGACCTACGGCGCGAAAAGGACACGTACTTTACGCGGAACTCTGGTGGTGCCAGTGTCAAGGTGTGGGGTGGATTTTCCGGCCGCGGTTGCACCCAGTTGGCATTCTTGGTAGACCACCAGAACGCCGATTTCTACCAAGACACACTCGGAAACTATCTATTTCCGTTTGGGCACCAGCACTATGGCCCCTCGTTCACATTCATGCCAGATGGCGCAAGCATTCACACGGCTGCAAACACGAAGGCTTTTCTAGCGGAGCAGTCGGTGACACTTTTCAACCACTCAGCCCTTTCACCCGACCTCAATCCCATCGAAAACGTTTGGGGGTGGCTAGCGCGCAAGGTCTACCCCAATGGAAAGCAGTACCAAATTGTTTCCGAGCTTCAAAGCGCGATTTCCGCTGCCTGGGACTCTATTGACCGCGGATACTTGAAAAAGTTGATTAAGTCCATGCCAAAACGATGTTTGCAAGTGGTTGCTGCCAAAGGTGGAAAGACGAAGTACTAGCGTTCTTTATGTTGTCTAACAATTGAATCTTGGTACATTTTTGACGAGTTCAATGTTGTGTTCATAAATGACTGTCGCACCCCAAAATCAGTTTTCCTGCGATTACTCGGTCAAATTTCGTGGCCTGATAGAGGCGCCATTACATGGGGCCAATCAAGGCCGATATTTTGGTGCTAATTTGAGCTTACAGTTAATCCGAGCAATTTTGGCGAAGTTATCCGTAAAAAACGAAATGATTTAAATGAATGTCGCGGATTGTATCACCCTCCAAACCTATGCTATCCGGAAAAGTAATATAATCAAAATTAATATACAAAAGCACTTCTCAACATACTTAAATACAATACAGCATGCAATCTTTATAATAATTCCCATTCAATTTACACTGTTGGCCAACGAAGTCAGACCGTGCCACAGCAGGTCCAGATCATGATCCAGTGGATGCCAGCGGCGTGTGGCTGGCCGAGGCGGTCGCTTCACCCACAGGCGATGCAGAAACCGGTTGACAGGATGTGTCAAAGTCGAAGCATACGACGCGGTGAGTCTGGCGGACGCGGTGGGTCGTGGAGGTGAACCGGTTTGCAGGCATACAGGGCGGTCGCTTTGATGCTGGTGGGTATACTAGTAGACTTGGTGGTAGGTAGATGCATGGAAGCGGACCAACTTGGATCGCTTTGCGGCAGCATTCCACCTTCCGACAACGGCCTTGCATAGTTCGTGTATCGTTTGCGGCAGCGCCCGAGCTTCCGGTGGTGGCACAGAAGACAACGCGGCGTCGCCGACGATGATACTTTCGGGGGAAATCCGCGCTCGATATGCGGAGTAGTGCGCAGGGCGCGGAAGGCGTATGGTTCCTATGATGCAGCGATCTATGATGAAACTGGTGACGTTCATGATGAAACTGGCGACGTTTTCTCTTCGTACGCCAGTATGTGGCATCACAACGATGTTGACAGCACGCTTAATCTCTATACTGTGATGAAGCTCTACGTAGCAGCAGAGAATTCGAAAGCACGGGACTTTCGCGTCATCGTAGGCTCGTATTACTTCCAGCACACCCTCTATGCTGTAAATGTTAACGAGTTCGGTCCGGGGAAGTGGTTGATTGATGTAAATGCACTCATCATTTTCATAGTCCCGCGCAAAAAATCTGACGGGTGGCGAAAATGGAACTTATCACTGGAATCAGCATCCCTGCTTGGGCGCGTCCAAGCAGGTGCTGGAAAACCTGTTCGTAATACTCTGGGTGGTGATGAGATCGTAAAACCACTAGTGGTGGGCCTTGTCCAACTGGCGGGTTGTTTGCCACGTCACTTTGCCGGACAACTCGGTCAGCACGCCGTCCGTCTTGATGCCAAACTCGATGAGCTCGATGCGTGCAAGGTCCGAGATTATCGGCAGAGTCGTTATCTTGTTGGTAACGTTACACGGGGACATTTTGACAACGAGGTTCCCGTTGGGGGTCGTTTGGCAGCTCTCGTGCACGTCCACGTCGATGCAAAACTTGGCGTCATTCTGGCTCACAATGTAGCCGTTCTCAAAGTTCCACTTTTGATCGTTGGTCGCATTGGAGCAGGGGGGCGTGCCCAGGGTCTGCGTATTGTTGTTCCCAACATATTCCAAGCACTGATTCGAGCTCTTGGAGTACAAGATATTGGTCTTATAGTCCCACAGCCAG